TAACTTTGCTTGTGACGAATAATTTTTGACAGATTCTCAGTCAGACAGTTGTCTTCTGAATGCTGCAAATCTGCTCTGTATGAAGCGTTCAACAACAAAAATGAAATGTTTATGAAAATTTCACGTTTGAATACTTACTTATGTTCCGCAAAAAAACAAGAAGCGATTTGAAAAATTCAAACAAAACAATTACACAGCGTAATAGAATGGTACAAAATAAAAAGTTGGCTGAATGAAAACGTGATCAGTCAGAACAAAACGGTAGACGATAATAGCACTGATAGCCAACAACAATAAACATCAGAATAAGATACCAGTATTAATGATACCAATGATAAAAAATTGATTGCCATATGTCGCTATCAATTTTCTCTTATAATACTATAATAATTTTATGAAAAATGATTCCATTCTTCAAAGTTTGTATAAGATTGGCAATGATTAATGATAACTGAAAGATAACTTCACGAAAGAACACGTGTTTCATTTTCACCCTCATTCACTCTTGTATCGAAAAGTGATTCAGCGAAGTTACTATAATTGACGATGTGACATCCATCCCAATATATCTTACCACAACTACCGCATACGTAGAAGAATCTGCAAATTTTATCTGGTTATTGCCATTTATTATTTTGAGATAAGTTCGAATGGTCTTGCATTTGGGTATTCACTTGATAAGAAATTATAATTGATTAAAAGATTACGCTTCGATGCTATCAGGGATGTCACTAAAATTACATCTCCCTCTCCTTCGGATCAGTACTCAACGACATGAGCATCGGAAACCATCCGCCTTTTTCGATTTTATCTCAGTTAATGACGGAATCTACTCACTTAACTACTCACTTAACTATCAGAGAAAAGGGCTTGAACTGTACTTTCAGTACGGTAGAATCGCATACAAGAGAGAATGAATAAAATTTCCGGTCAATACAAATAGTAACATGTTCAGATTACTTTGCAGCAAAACATGATATTTTTCGAATAAAAAACTGAGCATGGATCATGATGTTTCATATGGCATGCTCAAATTTTTTGGTACCTATGCAATTTTGTAATATTGTTATTAGGAAATCACAGCGACAGAATATTACACGAACGAATACATACCTTCCCTCTCTCTCGAGTACACTAAAAGGAACTCGTTCCACCTGAACAAGCGCCGGTGAAACACAATCATCGGCAAGCACAAGACAATTTCGAACATCCAGAATGCCGTTGAAGCATTTCGCGGTTGCCCACGTTTTGTCCGTCTCACTGATGGTTATCTCACAACCGAAACCCGAATAATCGCTTGCATGCACATTCAGCATCTTCTCGTTGTATTTATCCGCATCGTATGGTTCATCGTGAAACGGGTCCAAAGCGCTCACATTCGCACGATACATTGCTTCGAGTATCGGTGATGGTCCAATCACGAACGATGCCGCATTGCATACCTGAATTCCCAATTCTGGCTCATTTAAACAACAAAATTCATATAATTATCTGACATATGAAGCAATTTCCAAACTTTTATCGTTTGTTCAATGACCTGACCAATCCGTTAAGTTCATATCCACAATCACATTTTTTTTAAATCACTTTCTCGAAGACATAACAAAACTCTGAACAGATTCCCAGAATCCTTCCAGAACTACAAGTTC